ACTGATAAAAATTAGATATTTATCATTATGAAATGTCTTGAGAATACCATGAATAATATTACACCTGACAACAATCAAAACTTATTAAATGTTCAGTGATATCATGGTAGATTTTACCCTAATGGTCCTCGATATTAGAGCAAACGATGTCATTATTGTTGGAAGTATAGGAGCTAAATAATGGCACTTTCTACATTTCAAAGTAAATATTTTTGTAAATCCTGCACTATAAGTAGGTCCAAAGTAACCTATGACTGTCTAAATGATTTAGACATTTTGAGTGAAATACAGTACAAGAAAACAAAATATATTTAACTTTAATAAATAATAATCATAATTATGTGAAACATCAATTGAGTGGTGATTTATTTGATTGAACAATAACATTATTTTGAGCCTTACAACACAATCAAATCATCTACTGTGTAAAAGTGTTTGTTCTCAGAATAAAGGATATTAAAGCTTCAAATATACCAGATCATTTTTGTTACTTAATATAATTTTGGATTCTCATATTTATGTTTAAATATAACATTTGATTGTAATGGAAAATGTTATAAATTTTAATACATAAATGTATATTAAAGCAAGATTTTAGATATTATAGTCGTATGAGTAACTAGTGTTAAAAAAGTGTAAAAAGCAATGTACAAAGTACAATTGTAGTATTAATGACTTTTAAATCAAGCATGGCAGAATTCTGTAGACTGCAATAGCCAAAAGTAGTATCCAACTATTTTTGTTGTTTCATGATTTATCTCATAAAGTACAACAAGTATATTTGAAAGTTCTATTGCTTAAGAAAGAAGGAAGTATATACTTGTTTGGTCTCAGCTAATATTGCTATAATTCCAACAACATTGGCTTGGAGAAACTAGCTGTTATGTTGATAACATCATCAAATAACAAAATAAACAAAACATATTTTGAAGGAAAAAAATCTCAGAACAAAAAATTTAGATTTGTTACTACATTTTACTGCTACCAGAAAAGTCTAAAAATAATATTTATTTTTTAAACTAATTGTGCATTTTGATAATCATTAATATTAGTAAAAATTACTTTTTTTGTATTGATCATAAACTCTAGACTAGTTTATTAAATACATTTTTGCAATTAAAAACAACATTTAAATATCACTCCATTTCCTAAAATGAAGGTAGTTAACTTTCCTTTTTCTGTATTTTGGAGACTATTTTCAAAAACAACCTACATAAACAAATAAAATAATTAAAGTCAAAGGCTTTGAGTTGAGAATAATTACAGTGCTTATGCTAACTGATGTAATACTAAACTCATACGAAATAGTAGGGGTTGTTGATCCCTAAGAATAGGACCCATTTGGAAAAAATTGGTACCAAGGTGTTTCTGGTAGCATTAGAACCTAAACTTTGTGTTCTGTAAGATATCCGAAATCTGCATTAGGAAACTGTTTTATATGAAAATGAGCTCCAGTTCCTTGTTTATGGTTGATAAGTCTAATATCATGAATCATAAAAGTAAAAACTATATTTGGAAAGATGTCAACTTTATTTTTGGAAATTTCTAGAAAAGGTGATGGTAACAGAGTTGAACGACCAAAAAAAGAAAAACTGTAAAAGAGGAATGCTACAAGAAGAGGAGAAGTCTTGTTCACCTTTATAGCTCCGTAGGAATCAAGAAAGAGAACTTGGACAAATGAAAAGGATTAGAGGGATGGTGTTGGCTTTTCACAGTCTGGTTTTTTTTGGTCAAACTAACTCAAAATAGAGATGTAATTGTGCAAATTCAGGGGCTTCTCGTATCGTTTTGGGTCACTTTTAACTGGATTAATTTTGAAAAAGAAGCATTTTCGTTTTTGGTGGGAGAAAGCAAAATGGCCATGTTCATTTCAAAACTTTTATTTTGATTTTCTTTTAATGGAACAGACAGTAGAAACATTGACAATAGAAACTGGGCTTAAAAATTATAAACATTTTTTTGATGATTGCAGTGGGAATTTGCATGATGAAAGTATTTGTTTGTATTTATGACAATGCTAATAAGGCTATCTGCTGCTACCCCAATTTTGAACTGACCAGTGAGAAAACAGCCAGTCAGCAACACCACACCATTCTTATTAAAGGACTGACTGTAACTTTCATAACTCACCCACAAAAGAAAGGAGAATATTTTGTGATATCACAAAGATTCAACCACAACTTGCTACCTTTGAAATACAGATCCAACCTGTGCCTCAAATAAAGAAAGAAACTTAACTTTTGCATTTGTATTCTATTTTAAAAACCAATACTTCCACATGTTATCTTATTACAATACAATAGTACTATGAAGACTTATGATGGATACATTAAATATTGAATTCTGAAAAACAAAAATTATCATTATATCAAATACATATTTTGATGCACATTGTTACCTGTAGTATAGGCTACCAATAGCAAAATATGGTGAACAAACAGTGCACAGAAAAAAAAAGTATGGTTGCCTGAACTAATTATTCCAAATCAGCAAAAGTAACACAATCTCTCATATTGAAGAACGTCATCAGGGGACTTTGGCACCTATTAGTGGACTACATCTAAGTTTTCAGCATATCATGTTTCATCAAGATTGAATGTTATCTTCACACTTTTTCATCTTCATTTCTTGGGTTTTGGTTACGTTAAACAGATCAAAATTCCAGTTCTACCAGTACTAAAAACTCTTTGGCACCAATTTTTTCCAGATATAACTGTTCCATGACCATACTACAAATCAAACAAGATTTATGTGGGCATAAGATTTCATCCAATGGGAGCAATTGGCTTAATCAAAATGTGAGTTTATGTCTTGATAACATATGATAAGCTTGCTAACAAATTTATTCTTGTATATAAAGGCTTAAAGTTTTATTATTATGGTAGTCTACTTTTGAATAGCTCAAACTTTGATATCATTCTTTACACTAGTCGCTGTTATGGTATTTTTAAAACATTAGGTTAATACTTGAATAAATTATCAATGTAGTAACATAGTAATCTCTAGGAGTTTGACAAAATAGGGTATTAAGTTAATTAGCACATGTAAAATGGTTTGAAAGATGAAATGGACACATGTACCACAACCGTAATAATAATTCTTAGGACAAATGACATATATCTAAAGCACAGAGATAATCAAAATGCAAGTTTAGTCTACGTAAATTAGAACACAAATTTCAATAAATTCCCCACAAACAGGATACTATACTAAAGGTTGTGTTTCTAACTATATCTAAAGTTTTACTCCAAAACTACAAACTAGACAAAGCATAAAAATACAGGCAACAGATTCAGCCTTATAACAGGAAATAACAATATAATGTTACTCTGGTACTTCCAACATGCTAATTATTAGGTTGAAATTAAAATGGTGACTGAACAAAAAATAATCAGTACCAGCATTAATGAAAATTTCTCAATAATCACTTCAATGGGTGGTTAACAAGAAGCATGCAGTAAGAGAGGGGAGGGGGGCATATTCTGTTGAAGTTATGGATAATAATGTGAGCATAAACATAATCAAATGGTAGTGTAGCTAAAATACATTTTAAAAATACACATATGGCTAGGTTTTTGTGCCTTAGCAGTTGAAAAAGGTGGTATCCTACAAATTGTGAATTTCTAAATCCTAAGTAAAGAGGTAACTATTTTAGGTCTTGCTAGAACTGATTTTATAATGCATTTGCAGTTTTTACAGCTATAATAACTTTCGTGGTTCAAATATTTATTAAGATGCGATATTAAAAATGTAAGTTTGTTTGTTTGAATTTATGCACAAAGCTACACAATGGGCTATCTGTGCTCTGCCCACCACGGGTATCGAAACCCGGTTTCTAGCGTTGTAAGTCCGTAGACATACCGCTGTGCCACTGGGGGGCTAAAAATTAAGTTTAAGAAAATGTTTGTG